GTGTGAACACACTCTGAAGGAGACAGAAGGGCAGAAGACAGACAGAAGTGAGAAGGACTCATCAGGTATACGGGGACAAGGGAGACTGGGGTGCACAGATCAACAGACAGAGCTGGCTGGTTCAAGGCTGGCGGGGTCAGCTGTGGCCAGGGCACCTGGTGGAGAAGGGTTCCAGAGACTTATCAGTAGGCCCACTTATTAGGCTGGGGAGAGACACTTTCACATTGAGGGCAGTGGGCAGGAGGGGACGCTGGACAAGGACAGGATAGGCCAGAGGTTGGTGTGAAGTGTGCTGACTTCATTCATGAGCATGTTTATAGGTCAGGCAGCTTCTCCCAGCCTCTTCCCCCCACCCCTCCCAAAGAAACTTCCAGAATTCTGTCATACTTGGATAGCACCTGAATTGTTTATACACTTAATGAATGCTTTTTTTCAGGCTCTTTCCTTTTCTGAACTACATTTCACGTTAAAAAGAGAAATTTTCTATCACTACCATAAATGAAAAACCAGGATAACTTGCCAGAAATAGTAACTGTAAAAATAAATATGAAACTATTAAAATTACTTTTAAAATGTGCATCTGCAGGTGCCTAAAATCAGATCCACCAAGAATGCATACACAACTCACCTACTCATTTCACGAATGCTGTCCCTGTGTCTGTTCTGTGCTCGCTACTGTTACAGGTGCTGGGGTACTGCAGAGAACAAAACAGTCAAAAATCAAGACAGAGACCCTCACAGATACTTGTACACTTGTTGTGTTAGGTGCTGTGGAGTCAATCCTGACTCATAGTGACTCTGTATAGAGTTTCCAAGGAGCAGCCGGTGGGTTTGAACCACTGACCTTGCAGCTAGTGGTCCAGTACTGATCCTATACCACATCAGAACTTCATATATACATGTTGTTGTTACGTGCCATCAAGTCAGTTCCCACTCATAGTGACTCTGTACAGGGTTTCTGAGGAGTGGCTGGTGGGTTTGAACCACCGACCTTGGGGTTAGCAGTTCAGTGCTGATCCTACAGTGCTACCTCAGGACTCCATATATGTGTGAACTGCTTTTATGCAACTGTCTAGCCGTAGTCTTTTCATCTCCATAAAACGACTCACTGTTAGTTCTTAGTCTTGCTGAAAGGACATCCTTGAAATTGACAAAAACTAGGCTTATATGAAGGAGTTCTGGTAGCGTAGTGGTTACGATTCAGGCTACTAATCTTACGGTCAGCAGTTTGAAATTACCAGCTGTTCCACAGGAGAAAGATGAGGCTTTCTGTTCCTGTAAAGATTTACAGCCTCGGAAATCCCATACAGGGACGCTATGAGTTGGAACCAACTCCATGCATACCACCACCAACAACCACTAGGCTTATATGGGAGTCCTGGACTGGTAAACACAAGGTTGGCAGTTCAGACCCACCAGCCAACTCCTCAGAAACCCCACACAGGGTTATTGTGAGTTGGAATGGACTCGATGGCATTAACAAGAACAAGACAGTTTATATGAGGGCCAGTCTCACAGAGGTTCAAGGAACCTCACTAGTGTCAAAAAGGGTCTGCACTGGAGCATGTCCTTTGTACCAGGACCTGAGGTCCCTGCGCTAAGAACCTCCCAGACCCAGAAAACAGAGCAGCCAGTGAGGGCTTGCTGGTCCCCAGGGACAGGTGAATGTGGTGAACTTGCTGAGCTATGGAACAAGAACTGGGCACCTTTCGGTAGGAAGTTTGCCAGCAGAGTTAAAAGAACTGTTACTACTGCCCTGTGAAGGGGTTACAGGCCTTCCAGTCTGCCCGGGTTACCCAGGTACAAGTGGCACAGCCAGCGTGCAGACCGGTAACCATGGGGACAGCTGTGCTGTGAACCCACCTGACATTGCCTCTGAATCACAGTGCACCTATCCAGCAACGTGAGAATGGCCACCGGGACTGCGGGGAAGCATATGTCCAGCTCCTTCTAAGAATCTCTTCCGATTGTTTACTGTGTGTTTTCTATAAATAATAACAATGGCTTTCACTTTGCCAACAAGGTGTCAGTCTCGTGTGCCTGGCTCAATCCCAGATGAACGTAGCCCCCATGGAATGATTGGTACCAGCAGGTATACAAGTCTCATTTCTTGAAGTCCTAATGAGCCCGGAAGTACGAGGCGCAGCCTGTCTGTGTGTGTTCGCAGCAGCACGATTACAGAGGGCAGGCGAGGAAGACGCCCATCAACAGACGACTGGTGCAGACACGTGGAGGAAGTATCACTCCGCCAGATGCTGAGTGAAATAAGTCCAGCTCAAAAACAACAAATAATACATGTTTTCACTTACTTGAAACATCTAGAACAGACAAATGCATAGAGACTACATTTTACAAGAGGTGACCAGGGACTGAAGGAGACTTGGTGGTGCTGTGGGTTAGGCACTGGGCTGCTAACTATAAGGTGGACAGTTCAAACCCACCAGCCGCCCTTTCACCCTTCCCTGAAGAATTCTGCGTTTTGATTTACACCACGTCAAAACGGCAGTTTAGGTATCATCGAAGAACTCAAATAGTGTTCCTTGAATTTGTGGTACAAAAAGCCATCTGAAGGGGCAGGATCAGGGCTGTAGGGTGGATGGGATACAGATTCCCAGTGAAATTCTCACAGGACAGTCCTGGCTACCCTTGAAGAATGAGCAGGTGCATCGTCGTTACAGGAAAATAATTTCTCGGTGAAACTTTTCTGGTCTTTTTCTCACCAACACAGTTTAACTTTTTCATAATAAGCCTCAATGTCCACTTTGTGTCATTTGAGAAAATCTATCACGATGACCTCTTTGAAATCCCAAAATTAGTCCTGAAAACCTTCTGAGCTGCCCTTTCGCCTTTGAATGAACTGGCTCAGCAGAGCCTCTCAGAAGCCACTGTTTTGATGGCATCTTTTTGTGAAGGCTCCTACACAAGGCTAAGACAGGCAATGACTGAGAGAACTTGCCTGCAGCCGTCCACTGACTGTGCAGGCAATGGCTGAGAGAACTTGCCTGCAGTCGTCCACTGACTGTGCAGGCAATGGCTGAGAGAACTTGCCTGCAGCCGTCCACTGACTGTGCAGGCAATGACTGAGAGAACTTGCCTGCAGTCGTCCACTGACTGCAGAGACATGTTTAAACACTTTTTATTTGGAATAGACCCGTGTGTGAATAAACTGAAACCTAGTACCAAAACTTTATGACTCATCCTAGTTCATACAAGAGGGCTCCAAAAAGTTCATGGGAATGTGGAATGAAAAGATACCAGAATTTTTAAAGAGCCACGGGGGTGAGTGCTGTTCCAAATCTGAAGGGGGACCAAGGACCATAGTCTAAGATCCCTCTGGTCTCTTTCTGATCAGTAAATCTGATCCTTTTTTTTTTTT